CATTGATCCTGATACCTAAACTTCGGTCAGTGCGCCCGACACAGCTGTCTCCATAACTACAGGTGAATTTGTATATCAATAGAAGATATACTGCTCAGTTGTCGATGCTCTGATCAAACACAAGCTGGGGTCTTGTTGATATGAGCAACTGCATTTGAGCTGTATTGCTTGGTTTTTCACTGAAGCACTGACACGTTTTGCGGTGAATTTCACAATTTAACATTTGAGCAGTAGTTAAGTACAGGTGGGCAAGTTTTGGACTGTCGGTGTACGATCTTTCTTGACTGTCGTTGAGAGTCTTTTGGAACTGCAACCCACAACCGTTGTATGGTAGTGTATCGAACAATGTGTGTCCTAGGGCCAAGTAATATTGTAGATGCGCGGAGGACTTCGACAACACGGAACAGCAGAAAACGACAAGAGCAAGAAAGAGTATCCGACAGAGGCACCGGAATCAGTCAGCATAACGCAGGCCCTACCGGACGAGTGGAAAAGGGACCGCGGGCGACGACGGGAAGAAAGTCTGCTCCCGGAAGATCTCAAACGATATTGGAGGAGAGGTCAAGAATTCAGACAAAGACGCCGATTGTTATGCCCCAAGGAATGACTCCAAGCCGAGTGACGCCTGGGAGATCAAGCAAGTCGAGAGCCTTCGAACAAATCCATGCTGGTCGGAAAGCGACATACAGGAGCGGAAATACGAAGCAAAACAGGCGAAGTTGAGTTGCCGAATTGTCGCCAATTGGCGGGCGAAGGTGCCCGTCGACCGCATCGCATTTCTGGTGCGTTGTGGTGTAGAAATGTGACTATATGTGTGTGGGCGTGAGCGCGTGTGGGACAGATCGTGACGTGCAATACAGATCGTGCTTTATTGCCCCGTTGTTCTTGCTACAATATGGGATCATTAAAACAGTGTCGGAAAAGGCGAGCAATTGAGAACGGACACTAGTTTGCATGAAGAAGCAGTTCACTATTAGTCTTAACTTGTCATAGTAGCGTGAAGTACAACAAGTAATCACCGACCGCATAGCCGTCGATCGCAAATGACCGCGCCTTTTGTATATCTAACGTGGATTGCGTGTCTGTATGCACAAAACAACTATCAGCTCACAGTGTAGACTATTTAATTTTCTTGTTTGGAACTGTACACAAAGCTAGTGCAGATCTCTAACTATCGTGATGTGGAAATACTGGTTCAACATGCAAAAAAGCGAATGCTTGACAGGATGGGGTGGTGAACCACGCTGAATAATGGAACAACGGTATATAACGGACAAAAAAGCGATGCTTAGCAAGTCCCGTACGATGGCCAGAAAGAGAACCACAATCTGGTGAATAGAAAACAAAGGGACAAAATGAAAATCGTTTTGGTGAACTCATCACAGTCTGAGTAGGAAGTAGCGTACACAACTATAAAGCATATGTTGGTGGGCTCAACAAGAAATCGAGTTGAGCAAAACGCTTGCTTGTGTCATGATGACAAAGTGTCAGAAAGTGCAATATCCCGTAGTTTTGGTGCGTGGCACATAGTCACGATGCTTTTTGCATGCCGGTAATGTGTGTGTGTGTGTGGGGGGGGGGGAAATAAGGCAAGTGGGACCCGTTCGAAAGTTTGTGCACATGACGAGAGATGGAATTCACGTGGCATTCCAACATGCTATACTTTGTAACCAGGTTTAGCCGATTCTCTCTCAGTGTGGGATTGTGGTTCACTTTCAGGTGGAAACAAACGTAGTTGGGGCTCCTTAGGATCCGAGACGTCATCGTCAAATGTCCACGCTGTCCATGTTACAAATTATGTAACACAGCACTCCCGAAACCTAGGGAGAATTACGTGTAACCAAGTACAGTCTGTTTTCTTATTTACCTTGGGGTGCGTAATTTGAATGAGGTTAAAGAACTCTGGTAGTGCTAACAGATAAACCGCTCATAGTGGTGAGGTAATATTGCGGTTACGTGAGCACAGATGGGAAAACTGCAGCGGTATGCAATTATTATTTTCTGCGCTGGGAATTATAGAGAAACAACTAAAAAGGGGGTTGGAGGATATGAAAGTACCAGGTGGACAATAGAATCTAGTTCACCCGAATATAGTTACACAACTGCACAACGCATCCGGCCTCATAAACCGTGCATTTTTGCTCGAATACATCACTGCGCTTTTTGAGGGGCCATAATGCTCATCGCATTCAGGTTACGCGACTTGGAGACGCAAGCTTCTCTCCCAAATTATAAACCCCGGTTTTTTCAGAGAACTACTCTGCCATCGTTTCTATTTTCCACTCATGTCGGCTCAATACCATACCCTATGGAGGCGACTCTACGCAAATGTCTTTGCCTTGGGCGTCCAGCAATCGATCACTGTCTTTTTAGTGAGATAAAATGTATCTTTAACATCTTGGTCGAAAGCCCGCGACTTACAGCTTAACGTGTCAAAGTGCAATGATGTCGTTTATTTACTGCACAGAGGAAATCGTCATGAACAGCTGCTCCAGTAGTACTCCGAACTCCATATAGATGACGATAGGTTACAATCCTTTATATCAATGAAGTACCTGTGTGTCACGCTTAACTACGAGTTATTTTGATCCCGTCATGTGAAAAAACGTTTAGAAAATAAGATTATCGTTCTACACCTCACGTCTGCGAGCTTCCTTGGTCCCCATGATTTGATACCTCGCTTTGGCACGGCCTGTATTATCACATACCAGTGATTTTTGTAATAATAATAATCATAACAATAGATATATTTCTCATCAGGTGAGAAGCTACGTCCCTACTTAACGTAGATCATATGTTTACATTTTATTCAACGATGTACACACTAGGTGTACCATAATCACACAAGTTTCGGAAGATTGCGGTCAATTAGCTCAATTGTTGTACAGTTATCAGGACCGTGTTATTCCTGGAATAGGTAGCTACTCATCTCACACTTGGTTTGCAGTTGAAATTCAGTGGAATGTCAACCGAAGCTGATTTGCTCCACCATCCACAATGCAATCGAAGTCATGGCCTAACGTTGATCGTTGCCCCGACAGGGCACCGGCAGCAGGGAAACCAACCAGCCAATAGGATCGCAACAAATTCAAGCGAGGTAACCTTTGCGTCATTTGGCATTCATACTGCGTACGATGGAAAGGTTATGAGCACGTCAATTTATCCCGCTAAATGCGCAGCAAACTCCAATACATGGGCTGCGCCACGCGGAGTTTACTGCCTACTCACGACGAAGCGGGGATCCATTTTACCCATAAAATGAACTTCTGTGCTTGCTGTGATCGGACTTAATGGGTCATAAAAAGCTCTCAATAATCCGCCTCGCCTTTCGTATTCTCTCTCGTGCGACTGGCAGGGACCTACATGGTCGCATCACAACAGTGACACACACATACACACAACATACCGGGGTGTTACACAATGTGGCATTGGCCAGTCGCCTCTCAGCGCGCAATATCTCACTGAATATGCAACATCTCGAAACACTCGCCAAGCAGCTTGTATCCTCAGCACAAAGACTATAATCCGTTAATCACGAGATTTGCATCCACGACGCCCTGAGTGGTTAACCGCTATCAGCCAATGGCATTCGGAGCATATGCCCAATGGGTACAAACACAGGTGATGAGGCCGCATCACCACAACGAGCCCAAGACCACTAAAGGATTAAAAAGTGCGCGAAACCTAGGACATGATCAGTGTTCGCTTAGTGCAAGGCTTTGTCGGCATATCGGTCCGGTTCGGGGGGACTGCGTCGTTTCCATGTGATACTGAGCATGCAAATTGTACTGCGTGAACAAGGGTGAACATGGGTTGTCATATAACATGGACAGGTTACAAAGAAAGAGCAAGGAGAGGAAGGAAGTTATGATGGGTGTTTAGTCAAAGTGAATAAACTGGATTCAAAAAATATACCAAAAAAACCAATGAGACTGGACGCAACATTTAGGGTCATCTGTCGGCGCGGCTACGAAGGCAGGATTACATTCCTCGTCACATGTTTGATCAAATCAAAGAAGAAACTCATCCGCCACAGAAGTTGTTATTGTTGGAAGTGGACTAACAATGTGTTAGGTGAACCAAATGTGCCATGGATTTCGCTGATCTGCCTTTGTTGTATAAACCACCTTTCCATGAACGGCTGACTTTTTCGACTATAGCCATCACCATTCCTCCCACAGTGGACACTGTTGTGTCAAAGTATGAGCACACATTGATGCTACCTTGAAAAGCTACTATATGGTAAATTTGTTGACTGTAACTTGACGAATCGTAGCTTCTTGCACAGATGGTGCGGTATGTGCCAAGAGCGCATGGGTTGTTTGTTTGGTTGTGAAACTGGTATCATCATTCTATTGAGCACATAATGTAGACATTGCCGCAATGGATCCCGTTCTTTTGAGTCGAGGTAGGTGTGTAATAAAAGTGAACCTTTTGTGATGCCTTATACTGGCCTCTAAGAGGCAGAGGAGCAGCCCTTTCGCCTGGATTAAAGGTTGCAATAAACAGATATACCAGAAGCATTTGTTGTGTTCCCACAACGAACGCTTGCTGATGCAGCTTTAAGTAGTATGTTCGGGTTAATAACCATATTCCAATAGTAGCAGTGAAGAAAATTTGTTGCTGTAAAGCCGCGATGAATAAAATAAAGTCGCCCACTCTTAGTGGTGTATAGCCGTGTTATGTTTGTGGCTGATGTTTCCTATGTGATAATCGACGCTTGCATTGAGCTATGCATACATTCTGTCTCCGCACTGATGTTGGATGAACAATGTTGGTTAGAGCCACAGTGTCAACTGCAGGACTAGATGGTGGTCGGTGCAATGCGTTGACTTTCCGGTGGGAGTGCACCTTACTTCCTGACAGTGCCGGTTTACCGACCAATGCACAACATGCAGTAAGAAGAAACGTTGTTTCTCATGTAAGACCCATAGTTCCTTTACAAAACATTTTTTCTACCCAACGTTTCAGACATCAACCGGTTGTCACAAATATTTTTAGATCATGCCCATGCTGCACAGGTTCCCCGAACTAAGAAGATTTCACGCAAGAGCACATTCCGTGGCATTTGTGCTGAACGTATTTGTGGTTGGCATGCTGATATTGATTCCTCTGTTGGTAGGTTTTCACTCCTTCGGTAAGCACTTCTGTGATGTTACAAATTTTAAGGGCTCTATATGAATATATACAACTACTACGAGCGTCCGGTTGTCCAATTTACGGGAATTATGGCCGCAAAACTTCAGACGGCAACCAAAGAAGTACTATTCACAAACCAACCAAACTTTTTGGCGTTGCCGTATCAGGACAAGCCGTGGCATCCTTCAACTACAACGTATTGGGAATCTGAAGAAGAACAGACACTTACAGTAAATATCGGTCTACCCATTGCACAAAACGAACCAATTCAAACAATAATCCTGCTGCTGTTCTTTCACGTCGAACTGCATGTAATACACCAGTAAACGATAAAAACATGACCGTTTCAGAGATTTGCAAGAGTTGAAACCCCGCTGATCGCTGTGGTTGCCGAAAGTACGCACGGGGCCGCCAAAGGTGGCCTGCATCTCATATCGGATTTCGTCATTGATCAGAATCGCATTTTGCCCGGTGTCGTACAGTTGACGCCTTACACAGTGAGTGTATGCATTGCATATCATTCAGGTGTGATTTTTAGATCGACTACCCAGTAGATATGGGAAGCGAATATTTCGAGCGCACAATACACTCCGTCTACGATGTGAACAGATCAGGTAAAACAGCTCTGTCGGCATGTCACCGATAGTACTCATTCATCTCAACCACAGGATGGTATATTGGTCACCGCTGGATACGACCAGGCCACAATTCATTGTAAATGCAACCATACATTACGTCTATTCGCAATTCAGGTGAGCATAGTAGATAAAGATCATGTCAATAGTAATACGCAGTTTCATAACCAATCCAGTTCCATCTGTTCGTCACCCGATAAAGATATGTCATGTCGGATGAAAAAAAGTCACTTTTTGTCCTATGATAAAATGAAACGATGCAACTGGTTGATACATATAGTACGGTGAGAATAATTAATTGTAGCGAGTTAATCAACTTGACAACTAACAGCGTCGTTGTCATAAGCATCATCAACAAGAAGAGTATATCAGCCCTTTAAACGGATGCCTCACTGCCGTACAAATACGGTGACCAACTACGAAACGAACAATAATAAGAGGTAGAGAAAAAAGGACTAGTGCAAAAGCTAAACGCCATAATCATTCAGCACCAAAGCGCCTACACCTTGTCAACAACATTGCGTCACAAACAGCTGGCTGTCGTGCAAAGTTAAGGCGTCACTGAGGAAACAGCTTCCTTGCCTCGCGTCCTAATCAGCCATAACCCAGCATCCCACACACTAAACAAACAGTTCAGCTACAAGACGGTGGCAGACGCGCTCCTGGTGCCGAATTGGAGCCATGCCCTGTAACGTCTCGAGTCAGACATAAGGCCAAACGGACCAGCAGCATCCAGTTTGATCATCAGTGACTTCCTTTCCCGCTATCAGAATAAGTTTGTCTACCTCGAGCCTTGCGCCACTATACGCAGAGGCAAAATAAAACAACGCCCTCTTCGGCAATCAGTGACCCAACGTTCGTAGTACGTGTCCAAGCTAACATTTTCAGTGCTATCTATTGTTCTGAGGTATTATCAATGCCTAGCGCGCTCGCCTACCCGCATCACCGTTGCGGACACGCTGGTGCCACCAGACATCGGTAATGCATCGTAGGTAGCGGTGGTCAAAGACCTGAAGGTGCTTCAGATCCCCAAGCCGAAGGGCTCAATTCCCACTACTACAGTATTGGACCCCCCCTCCACTGTGACCACGTAAACACGGTCGAGGGAAATCCCTTTTTGACACCACAGATGTCGTAGATTCAGAAAGGTAGTTCAGGCTTCTGCAATTCCTTAACTGACTAGAGCGGTTATGCGGTCATCGTTGCAGATGCAGCTGCTGGAGTAAGTAAATTGAGCAACTACCTCGACTTGCTCGCTATCAATAGTCAAGGGGTCATCAAGGGGTTCGTTATCCTGCAAAAACAAGTACACTTTTTGGCTGCGAAGCGCATGCCAAATGATGGGACCAATCTATAGATTATTCGGATTTGAATATGCCGTCCCAACATCGTTAAACAGCAAGATAATGTCATCCTCATAATCAAGATCACCTAGCTTTCCACCAGACAACTTCTTAACACCTGCACCGTGAGACCCCGCAATGTAACACACCATGATGGAGCCCACAACGAAGTTGAACAAGAATGGGGAAATCGGGCAACCCTGACGAACGGCACTTGTGGTCGGAAAGCTATCCGACAAGTCACCGTAGACCCTGAGGTCGCCTGTAGTGTTCAAGTACAGGGAACGTAAGATGTTCACAAATTTGTTGGGGACACCTTCGCCACAAATATCTTGAACGGAATGGATCGATCGGCTGGATCGAACGCACTATGGAAGTCCGGAAACACAACTATCATCGGCCTACCGTAAGCGTGGTGCTGCTTTAACACCTTCCGCAAAGTGAATGTATGGTCTAGACAGCACCGACCTGAGCGGAAAGCTGCCTGGTCTGTCCTAATCCGGGATACCCATTCCGCAGTGAGGCGACGAATGAGAACTGAGGCCAGTAGTTTTGTCACCACCGACGTTAGGCTAATACCCTTGTGGTAAGCACAGTCGATGCGACCACCCTTCTTGTCCATCGCCACCATTATCGGTTCACTCCATTTAGCTGGGATTGCCTCTTCCATCTAGATCTGTTCGAACAGGGTGGTCAGTGATTTCAGAAGCTTTCGAATACCTTTGAATACCCTTAATTAAATCGGTTTTTGTAGGTTTTTATTGTTCGACGTTTCGCTCTTGAGGCAACAGCTCCTTCTGCCTTCTTTGCACTTGCGCCGAGAGAAACATTTCCCCAATAAACACCTACAAAACCAATTTGTGTTCAAAAGCTTCTGAAATCATGAGATCCTAGTCGGTTCCAAGTGGATTCCGAGGGTGATCAATGCTTTGGGAAGTAGCTCACCACCATCCTTAAATGGTGCATGAGTAGGGGAATCCGGCACAGCAGCTCGAAAACGATTAAGGGCTGTGATCGCATTTCGCAACACCGACTCAGATGGAACTAACCGTCCATGGAGCATCATGCAGCACCTGAGTGGAAAGAGGTCCGGAAGCAGGGGGCCAACTGAACTGATCTTGAAAGTGCATCACAAAACGAGACATATGGCGCACTTTATTGTGAAGATGAACAACAGTAATATCTCAGAATGTTTCACTAATGCCTGGTTTCCTGGGACCGTTGGTGCGGATCACTCAGGAGAACGTGCGATGATTACCCACTGCTCCCGCCTTTACCAGTTTTCGAGCCCTAATAGTCCACCAAGTGGCTTTCTCATCACTCACGCTCCGCTTTAGTTCGCACCTAAGAGTCCGTCTAGTCACACTGTGCACAGAGACACCCGAGAGCTTTCCTTTGGATTCCAACAGATTTATCGAACTTTCGGATATCAAGTAACTGCTGCGGTGACGATTGAGAGCGCTGCAGTCAGACCGTCGCAATGAGCCTGGACGTTAACGTGGTGCGACGGTTTGCGCACCTCGTCGACCCATTGAACTATAATGGTGATGCCCTCGGGCCCTCTGAGAGTTACTCCTACCAAGCTGGTCAATGACCTCAGCCGAACTCAATCTCCTAGTCCTCCAAGGTGGGGGTTTGAAATGGGATGGCGTCCATTTCTGTAAAACCGAATCGTTGCCATATCAGCTGCCTTGCGGATAGGCTTTAGAGCCAGACTTTGATTGAGGACTCTAATCGTCCTCCTGTCTAGGTTTGGGCGCCCTGGCAGTATTAAAGCCCAAGTACAACCATGACTTTCTTTAACAATAAACTTCATCCTGCGTCGGCTGTCGGGAAGATTATCAATAGTCGCCTTATCTGCTGCATACAGCAGGGCGAATAAGCGAAAACATGCTACTGCCTGCACGTCCCTTCTTCCTTTCTCATCTGTTTCCCATACTGCCCTCCAAACCTCCATTACTAAACTTACTTCCATAGTTCACCGCTTAATCGACAGCAGTCGTAATGCCCATGGAGTCGAAGCATCTGCAACTATCTTCTCGCACTATCCACTGGACGCCTATTGGCAACAGTCCCTTATAAGGCCGCACTTTCCTGCGGCATTCAACGTTGGCACTCTAAGACAAATAAGCCAACAGACTGCATTCGCATGCACGTTGAACACGTTAGGCATTGACGTGTGTTGTGTGCCCGAAACTAGGATCAATGACCCTCACGGGGTGGTTGAATAAACTGCGCCCGGGTTGTCCTCTCACTGTTGGGTGCAGTCATTCGGAGACGCTGAAGCGGTGATCACTGGTCAAGTTGGAGTGGGCATTGTTCTCAGCTCCAAGGCTGAGTCATCGTTGATTGATTGGATTCCCGTGAACAGCAGTTTGTGTGCGGTCCGTTTGAGTATATCAAGTATGTTTGATTCACGAAATAGTACTAGACGCTGTTTGTTTGTGGGTTCTGCGTATTCCCCCACTTACTGCAGCTCTGATGCTGCGAAGGACGCCCTCTACCACGAACTGAACACGTTACTACGCAGTGCTACCAGTTCAGATATTATAGTATTAGCAGGGGATATGAACGCACAGTTAGGGCGTCCGAGCTCTTCAGAAGCTCAGCCACGTGATAAATGTGTACTTAACTACAACCGTACGGACAATATGAGCGTCTATTACAGCTGTGTGTGGAGCAGCAGCTGCTTCTTAGTAGCACCGCTTTTAGGCACAGTGGACGCGGAAGTACCAATTAACATTCTCCTGTAACTGGCCAGTGATGGACTCAAATAGATCACGTTGCTATAAGGTACAGGTGGCATGGTTCCATGATGGATCGCCGCTCGTTCTGAAGTACTCGCGTCGACTCTGATCATGTCTTGATACGCAATCGTCTTTCCTTGACTTGTACCGGGAGGTGCACCAAGCGTCTTCCTCGATTGGCAAACTGAGAAATAATCTCAGTACTCGGTCAGGCAACTCTACCAGGAGGCACTGCCTACTGAACTTTCGCTCTCCTGTCCTAATGACACTGGATAGAATAAAGTCTTGGCAGCCGTGCACGACGCAGGAGACTCTGTTTGCGGCACTATCAATCGTCACCGCATCAGTCACTGGATATCCGAGACGTCGGTGAATCTGTTGGAATCCAGAAGAAACCTCCTGGCTGGCGTTGAGCACGATGTGACCAGGCAGACTATTAGGCGAGAACTAAAACGGAGCCTACGTGCTAGTAAGGAAACCTAGTGGACAAGTCGTCCCCACGAAATAGAGGGGGCAGGAGCACTAGCCAATTATCACAAGCCCCCCCCCCGACTGATTCGCAACACTGGTCCCAGAAAACCAGGGGTTAGTAAGACAATCAGCGATAGCGCGGGTGCATTGATACACAATAAGCAGCGTCGTATGGCTCGCTGGGCGGAACACTTTCATGATCAGTTCACTTGGCCCCTGCTTTCGGGCCTCTTCCTACCTAGGTGTTGCAGGCTGAGCCCTGGATGGTTAGTCTAGAGACTCGGTCGGAGGCTGTGATCCGAAACGCGATCACAGCCCTCAATCGTTTTCGTGCTGCTGGCCCAAATTCGTTCACACCCGCACTATTTAAGGATGGTGGGGAGATCCTCTGCAAAACACTGAACTCCCTGTTCGAACAGGTCTGGAAGGAAGAGACCATCCTACGTAACTGAAATGAATCATTCATAGTAGCAATATACATGAAGAGCAGCCGCACCGATTGTGCTAGCACAGGGGTATAAACCTAACGCCGGTGGTGACAAAACTACTGATCTCA